ACACTTGCCATGTAAGTCTGACAGCCTTTGTTCTAAAAAACAAAACAAAAAACAACAACAAAAAAAAAAAAAAAAGGAAAGGAAAAGAAGGGAAGAGGAGAGGGGAGGAGAGGGGAAGAGAGAGTGGGGGAGACAGTGGGGGAGGAGGACGGTGACATGGAAAGGCCAAAATGAAGAACAACCATTCTAAGCAGTTTTTGTTCCAATACTAGTTTATATCAGGTGATTAATTTAACAATATATTAACTCTAAGAGAAGAACTGGATTTTTAGAGAATGCTATAGTATAGATTAACTTTATCAAATCCTTCAGCATTTTGGACAGTTATCTCTGTCTACGTAGATTTTTGTTAGTGGCCCTGACAGAACATAGAACAAAGGCTCTAAATTCTCCACCTGAACTACTTGAGCTTGAACAAGAGCTCGTGCATGGAATGGTTTTATGCTGAATCTCTAAATTCATCCCTGTTGCTTTTGCCTTTGTTCCCTTAGACTGCATTTTAACCCTAATTATAATCACTTGCCTGATGGTTTTATTTTGAGATAAGATTCTTGCTATGATCCCAAGATGTCCTTAAACTACTAACTGGTCCAGGCTGTCCTCAGACTTAGACCTCCTGAGTCCCAGGATTATGGGCATGATTTAAGGTGGAAATCTAAAGGAATGGCGAGTGCCCAAGAAGAAAGCATGACTGTTAGGTGGTGTGTGGGTTTCTAATTGAAGAGAACACTGAAATCTGCTTTAGGTGGTTTCTTGACATATCAGATTTCTGCTTTTGTCTAACTGCACCTCTAGCTGCTTGAAACCCTGTCCCAGCAGCTCGTTCCATGGAGTGTTGGTGAAACTCTCCATATAGAACCACACTGGCTACTGGAAATGGCTAGGTCAGATTTACTTTTTCATAATAATAGCATTCTTGGAGTACAGTCAGCACAGGACTAAACCATGGGGCATAACACTGCAAGCTTCTGGAATCTACTTTTTAAATATTGTTTTGCAAACATTCTTTGAAGGATTTTGAAAACATTTGCTTTAAATTCCTTCCTTTTAGTTGTCAGGAAGTAAGAATTAGAGAGTGATTCTAGCCACAACTCTTAAATTCCCTTGCTTGTAGGTTTGCATAAGCCTTTATAATTATGTAAAATATATTTTGTGGTTTGACTATGTTACCTCAAGCATCTAGTACTTAAATGTCGTGTTCTATGTTTTAGAAATCGACAGCAGTGCATTTTGTGGTGACCGTTGCTCTAGATTTATTACATGGCACTTGAAAATCACTTTGAAAACATTTGTGGCATTTCTGTGTGTTTTCAAAAGAACAAAATCATGACACTCCCCTCCACTTTATAATTCAGTTTCTCCATGTTTACCATTACTCTGCCAGAATTTTTGCTCTTCCCTCTCCAAACTTAATTTCCTGACTGCCTTTGAGTTGTCTGTTTCTCCCTGGAATCCAACATCAATTGTGTTCTGTAGCACGAATTCCAACTGGTCTTATTAATAAAAACCCAGAGCCAGGAATCAGGGTGAAAGCTGAAAGATCCTACTGGCGTGTGCAACCACAACCAGCCTCTGTGGCTAACTCTTTGGCTGGCTCTGCCCTCTGATCTTCAGACAAGCTTTATTTGTTATAGCATATGAAAATATCACCACATTTCCCTCTTTTTTGTCTAAAATAAAAAAGGTTATAACTAGCATAAGAAAAACTATATACACTAAGTACAATAACTATATACAATATATACAGTTAAGAATTACGCCGGGCGGTGGTGGCGCAGCCGGGCGGTGGTGGCGCACGCCTTTAATCCCAGCACTCGGGAGGCAGAGCCAGGCGGATCTCTGTGAGTTCAAGGCCAGCCTGGGCTAC